ATATATATATATATATAAACTTCCATGATTTGAGTTTAATGAAACGAAAATTCATGTCGTTAACTCATCTACAAATATTTATGTATATGTTAATTATATTGTTATTTTAATTTTCATTGTTTCTTTGTAAAATAATCGTTTGTTAACATTTATTTATTTATTTTATTCAGTTTTAATGGAACGATAAACACAGATACATTGATCCTATTAGTTTTTTTTTAAAGTAAGATTTTATCTTTTCTTAATTTTTAATATATTTTATATGATACATAATATCTTTAGACTTATTATAAGTACCAATTTTTTCTTCTTCTAATTATAAACAACAATAAACAATTTTCAAATATTTATAAATAAAAATTTTTATACTTTTAATTTATCATTAACTATATTTCTTATACATTCACTTATTTTTTATATAATAGGTTCCCAATAAAGGGTATTTTAGAATAAAATTTAAATTTATAATAAAAATAAATAAAAATAATTAATTTAATTATTTTTCTTAATCAATCTTATTATCCTATGTTGTTTACAATCAAAACTTGAGATAGTATTGAAAGTTTGTTTATTAACGGGATTTTACGGTATATAACTTTTAAGTTTTGACGATTGATATAAAAATAATAATAAATTGGAGGAGTGGTTTTATTTTCCTATAATAAGATATGAAGATTTTCACTATATTAGTGAAAAAGTACATTTGACAAAGTACACTTATAATTATTAATTATAAAGTTAATAATTGAAATTTATGATAAAATTAAATTTTTACGAAATAAAATCTAAAATTATTTATAATATCATTAACTTATAGTTATTATTGTTCTAAAGTGCAATCCCTTAGGTTTGTTTATTTATTTAGACGAATTTTTTTTAGAAGGTCCATTGTAATTTATTATACAACCACGCAAATAGTACTATTGTAGCCAAGCACAATACATAGTAAATTCTTACAAATTGAGAATATTCTTTAGTCTTAAAGTGAAATGAATACCTCTAATTAACTATTTGAGCACATAAAATGGCAATCCTATTTTCAGTAGGGTTTGAAAAAAAAAAAAAACTTTTGAAAGTATTTAATACTCGAATCTGTTGAAAAATAGTGATGATAGCTTTACAATTTGGTATAGTTGATGAGTAAATAAAAAATAGAGATGATAACTTTGAGTTAAGTTTTTTTTTTTTTTTGCATAATCATTATTCTCAATTCAAGAATTAAATAGTATAATTTTACTTAATGCATTTCGCTGCTGAGATGGTGGACAGATTGGACGTAGTACTTAAAAGTTAAAACTAAAAAATAACTAATTATTATCAGATAAATGATATTGATATTTAAAATTGTTGTTGTTGAAATAATTTTATTCAATGAAAATTATTATTTTAGTATATTATAAAATCATGCATGTATATTGATAAAATAGTATATTATACTAACACTACAATATTATGATAATATATATATATATATATATATATATATATTTATTTCTATAAAATGTCTTATTTGCTATAATAGACAATATACTAACAATTTAATTTGATCAGATAATGATTTTATACCATTAGAATCTAATTCAATAAATCAATTCATTATTATTTGCTAAAGCGAAATAAATCATCAATTCAAGAATATTCCTAATTAATAAGTGCCAGGAAATCGAATTTGAACCGCAATTAGAAACATCAAATAGTAATATTCTTCTTTTAAAAAGATATATAAAGTTTGACACACATAATTAGTTACATAATTTTGTGTGTATAAAAAGTGAATAATTTTTACATATAATTACGATTCTTTAACTAATAATGTTTTCTTATTTTCAAAAATAAATGAACAACACAAACAATTATCTTGTAGAAGAGAAGAATTTCTTTGAAATTAATATCTAATTCAAATTTTATTTATCATAAATAT